GGGGGGGAGGTTCCCAGAGGATGTCATCCATATAATGAAATCAACAGCAAGCAGAATAAGACTTTCCTTTCTTTGATTTTATTAAATTCAAGTACAAGTAGGTAACTTCGCCGACCAACTCCCGACCACATATACCTTACGACTGACTCCCAACTGTGTTATAGAATGAGATTGAGACACCATGGTGTCCATAAATTATCCAGCTTTTATCTTTAAGATAGTGTTAATCTGATTTAAAGACTGTACTGTGTAAATGGAGGTCAAAAAATAAACAGTAATCACATGGTTACCACACTCATATGCAAAGTCCAACTTTGCTATATGAACAATATACAGTCTCCAGCGATTCTAATATCTATATAGTAAAGCAGACTTCATATAAGATTACTACCATGGACCGTTCTGCGTCCGTCTCTCCTGAACTTCATCAGGTTGGTTCTAACTTGTCTGATTGTATAACTTAAAGTAACGTTAAGGTAACGTTTTCAACCACGACTTATACATCCCCCCTCCCCCCCCACCCCCACACAAGACTCATGACAAAGGTCCACTTTTTGGTCCACATTTTATCTAAAGGTCCAAGATTTGTTGTTTTTTTTTTAAAGATGGACTGATTCGTGTCACCAGCGAGGCTGGAATCGTAGGAAAAGGACTCACTTTGTCATTGAAAAAAGTCATCTCTGATTTTTTTCTTTGAAATCCTCTAAAATACGCAGGAAACGCTATTTCAGAAGGTTCATTTTTCAAAATTTCCTGGGGAGCATGCCCCCGGACCCCCCTAGGAACCTCGCGCCTTCGGCGGGTGCTCGCTGGTCCCTTAAGCACTGGGAAGAACACCCCCTCCCCATTCAAAATCCTGGGTACGGACATGCTTATAATTAGCTCCCGACCAGTCTCAACCATGGTTAATCGTCACTGGGCTGAGAGAAGTCTGGAATTCATCCTATTCTGGATTTAGTTAGCTTCTACGATCACATCCAATTGAAAGTAATGTGGATTTCGTTGCTTTGATTTTACTAAATTCAAGTCGGCTGTCGCAGAGGACTTTCAAATGCAATTAGGCAACCTAGCCGACCGACTCCCAACTACAGATAACCTTACGACTAAATCCCAACTGTGGTTTGTGGGGCCGTGTGGCGTAGCGGCAGCGTTCTCAACTCGGAACCAAGAGGCCCCGGGTTCGAGTCCTGACATGCCACCGATCGTGTGCCCTTTACACGACATTCCTCACTTAGCTCAAGTGAAAATGAGTATTGTCCTGTATTCGTTCTCTACGTTGGTGGCGGCATAAAATAAGTTGGTATATTTAAACTTGGGTGTGCTGTCATCATGTCTAGTCATGAAATGTTGGGATTTAAAAAACAACAACTGTGGTCTAGAGAAGATAGAGAGACCATGGTTGGCTGTGTTTGATAGGGCCCTAATTCAGTTTTAATCTTAGTGTTGATCAGATTTACACACTGTGTACGGTTTGAATGGAGGTCAATAAAGTCACAATAAACACTTCAGGGTATCATAAAGTACTATCAGTATAACCTGAGAATGCTACAAGAGGTTGACCTTTATATTATTACAGTTGTCGCCTCCAAGGACGCAAAATGTAATATATGTACGACCTAAATAATCTGTAAGTTTCCGATAATTTCATATTGTGATAGTCATCTATACTAATGTATGTTATGCCACGATTCAACTGTTTTCCCTCCAATTGAATTAAATGAAATTTTCAACTGAATCGCTTCGTCCTCTTCGGCTACCTTACCTATGCGCGCAGCACGCGTGTCTTTACACACGTGTGACGTCACCAATGGGTCAAAGGTTGTCGGAAGTCTATATCAACCCCCGTCCGGGTATGCTTTATGATAAAAAAAATTACCTGTAATTTCCAATACAAAGAATGGGCCTTTCTTAATTAAGGAGTGCACCGCCTTTTTATTTCACAGATTTCAGGCATGTAATTTAGCTAACGTTAACAATACAAAACAAGGAATCTTTTTTCATCAGCGACATCGCTTTTTTGCTCATGAATAAAAGAGACTGACTTAAAATAACCTAGTTTTGGCTGAAATATTGGATACCGGTACTTTAAGCCATGGATGTGTGATCAAAGATATTTGGTCCAGGTGCAGACCTAATCACAATAGTGATGACTGACATTTCAGAAAAAAATCCGGGTCCAGATACAACAATTCTTTTAACGATTAAGGATAGGGCTATTTTGTTAACATTGCTCAAACGTTGCGCTTTTCGTTGCTGTTTCGTGTTGGAAAGTGTTAACATGTTAACTACAAAAGGCCCACTTAGGCTCACGTGACGACAGCAACACTAAAGGCGGTTAGAAGTTGGACTAAACATCGAAGTGATCCTCGATGGCCTTAAAAACACGTACGGGCAGACCGTGAGATCACTGTACATAGTGAAATTTTCGCGGTAGGTGAAAAAAGGAGGTTTTCGTGATGTTTTAAAGGCATCTAATGTAATTTCAGGACGGCAAAGTTGAATTTTTTAAAGTCAACTTTCTGGTCATTCTACAATGTAGTAAGCTGAATCAACCCTATCCCATAGCATACTGATATCTGTGAGGCAAAAATATGATGTATTTGACGGGAAATGGTTGCTTCTTTCATCGTATCTGAATATTTATGGGCGGTACCCAATATAGCAAAAGAGACACCTCACGTAGCTTGTTTTGGGGCTATTTCAATCATTTCAAGCTTGAAGTTGTGACGAAAATGTGCTAAGAAAACGTGGCAGTAAATGGCAATATCAGACAGATTTTCTTACCAAGAATTTGAATTTTTGTTTTGTTTTGCAGCTCTAAAATTGCATCGAATGCCTTTAAATTCGTGGTAGAAACGATTCCGTAGTACAGTGGTCATACAAGAAAGACATAGTTGCAGTGTCGTGAATTCGCCATGGAGAGGCCAAAACCACAATAACCGTGAAAGTTTCACACTTCACGGTATGTCCCACGTCACGTGTTCCTGACGTCATAACGTCTAGCCACGATCCACCGGGTTGCTACGGGGTTATTGATTGATTGACATCTCCATGGCGCGACAAAGCTGACGGCTGTTGAACCAACGGGCGTGTCCGATACATAATCGGTTAAACAGCCCGGTGCAAAGTTCTTCGCGCTCTCGCCCTCTCTTTTCGCCAGACTGCGCTGTGTCCGGTCACAGTTTCTCAGTTCTCCGGGAGGATGAAGTCTATGAACATTACGGAATCTACCACCAACATGATGGAAGAGGTAAACAAAATGTTTCATCCTAATAAGCTCCACCCCAAAATGGTACCGTCTTTGATCCAGTAAGATTTTTCCGTTCTAATATTAGTTCAACCACCGATCTTAACATCAACATTGCCGGGGAAAAATGCAGAACGAGCTGAAATCAATCGCTTTTGTAACATCTAGAAATACTTTCAGGGAGGATAGAGATCGAAGTACTGGTTTTGACAAAGTAGTGGACTGGAAAATGCAGACTCAGGATTTCTGCAATGTTTATGCGTTCACAGTCCAAACGTTGCATTTATGTGTTACCATATGCAGTGGGGTTACATATGTACAGTAGTTTAAAATGACAGCTGTGCTTTTCTCAATGATATCCCAATGCGATTTTCAATGTTAGAACGATACAGTTAGTATATAGTATGGTTTTTATGTAGCTTGAATGTTTAGTACGAATTTGCAATGTTCTTTCTTCAAGCGGAAGCTTCTACAAGATAGGGAAATATTTGTGGCTGTCTGTAGCTGTAGATGTGTAGGTTTTCCTGCGTTGTTGTTGGTACTATCTTGATCACTGAACATCCACACACCGCCCTTTAGCTTGTTTTCGCGTATTCTGAGTTCATACACTCCATTCTTAACTGGTATTCAATACTTTTGATGAGCTCTATAAATACAGTTTTGGCATGTTGGGAAAGGACAGCAGATGCGAGGATATCTAAGCGGCCCCATACGCAGAACATGGTTACCACACGCATATGCAGCCTCCAACTGTGCCATGTAACAACATACATACACAGTTTCACAGCGATTCTAACAACTATAATAATAGTAAAGCAGTAGTACTGCATGTAAGATCGCTACCATGGACCGTTCTGCGTCTGTTTCACCTCAACAACACCACCAGGTCGGTTTCAACTTGTGTGATTGTATAACTTAAAGTAACGTTAACAAAACGTTTTCAACCTTGTTACTGAGTGCAATGTTTCAGATGCCGCTGCATGCTACTGTACAACTCCCTTTCCAAACGGATGCCGTATATGCACACTAACCGGATACCGAGAAAGATATTATTCAATGTAATCTTATCGTTGTTGCCATTAGTGGAAGCCTTTTATCAAGTAGTGCCACATGTGGGCAAGAGATAGACTAATTATGGGTTCACCACACCACGAAGTGGTGTGGTGAAACCATATTGCTTTTTCTGATGTTTCTTCTTCTCCTCCTCCTCCTCCTCCTTCTCCTCCTGCCATATCTTTAAATGGATTCAGCTTCTTCATTTTAGGGCCTAAGGTCCTGAAATTTGGTATGGAGGTACAGTGGGCAAATACCCCTAGGCGTTTTTTAAATTATTGTGATACAGGCTTTTAGAATGGTTTTATTTGAGTTTTTTGGCTGTGTAATAGCTAATGTATTACTGTGTAAGTGTGCAGTGTTTACCACATTTGGACATGAGTCATCACAATGGCATGCAAGGCATCAACCAATAGGCATGCAGCTTTCCTCTATTCTCCTTGCTGATTGGCTGTTGGGATTTAACTGGCTTAACTTCATTTACACCTGCACAGAGCCATGCCATACTGACAGTATGTCTGTATTCAAGTGTTTTGGTAGGTATTTTAAGCTTTCCTGCTCCAGCATTGGAATGCGGGCTATGAACGCTTCTTTTTATCTTGAAAATCAACAGTTTGCATTATGCAATCCTAACCAATAATGTAGGGAATAGCTATCCAACTGTTGTAGTCTTAGTTGTATGTTACTTCATACTATAGTTATATCAATGTAAAGCATTGTTTTCCCTTGTGTTTCTCATTCTTTCCCTGCCATGTGGTAAAATGTGGTGAACCCATCGCTATATTTGCTCCAAAGCAAATATTGGCCTTTCTAGTTTTTCTGCTTTTCTTACTCTGAAAATCCAGGGATACCCGGGGTACAAGAAGCCTAAGACATCATGTGGGGTGAAGATGTACTTCGCGATTTTGATGCTGCTTCAGCTGGCTGTGGTCGCAATAATCGCTGCTATGAGTGAGTATATACACAGCACGAAAACAGACATTTAAGCAAACTTTCCGCAATATGTAAAGAAGTATTAAAGGTGAGAAAATATTTCAGTAGACTTTACGAATTCGTAAAGGCTGCTGAAAGGCAAACTCCGCCTTTCCGTCACCTTTCAGTGTACTTAAATGCGTACTTAAACATATTTCATATCTTTACGCCGCCTTTACACATCCGCAAACCCTTCCTACAGGGTACAGTTAGTATATCAAACAAATACATTCCAAGGGACCTGTGCGGCTGAGCATATTTGACAACCTTAAGGCAGTCTTTACTTTGCAACATGTTTACACCTGTTTAAATAGTTCAATAGACGGTCATGGTCGTATGACATTAATCAAGTCAATACGTAGTCTCTACCTAATCTCCAAGCAGATCATACGGTGGCAAGGCAGTATCCATTGGCCAGAACAGTGTCCGTTAGCCTTGTCACCGTATCTGCTTGGAGATTAGTCTCGACCAGGCTTTTTGGCGGACTTACGAAATGGAAGACGAATAAGAAGAATGTTTCATAAGAGGGCATGGACGGGTATTGTAGTACAAATCATCGAAGTTAGTTTCAAATTATAATATTATGTGGCTGAATATCTCCTATCTGAACGTTTTTGAAAATAATTTTACGGTCTGGTAGACTCTAAACAATACGTAATGTACAGATCTCCAAAGTGGGTTTCAAATTATAATATTATGGCTTCAAATTATAATATTATGGCTAGCTAATTCCTTTGACCGTTTTTTGAAAATAATTCTCCAGTCTAAATGTCCTCTTAACGGTTTATTTTGTAAATAATTTCAACTCTGGCAGAGACTAAACAATACGTATATTACAGATCCCCAAATTGTAACATTATGGCTCGCTAACTACTCCGCGATCCGAACGTTTTATTTTTTTCTGTAAGTAATTTATCAGACTAAACAACACATATAGTTACCATTGTCTGGGCAGACCATGTACTTGATAGAAGCAAACACTGTCTAGTGAACACTAAAAACACATGTAAACATAACTACAAGGACTACCTACGTCAGCCATTTTGACACGATGTTTGCGTTTCTACCGTTTGATCAAATTTGCTGACGTGCTTGCTTGAAGTCAAGGCTGAGTTTTTATTGTATTAGACTACATTCATCAAAAAGACGTGTGTAGGGTTCAACTCATAAAGCTATAATTTGCAGTCTACGCAACATGAAAACCTCAGTGCACTTTGGACGTTTTAATTCACTAACATAGTGACAAATTAGATATCAAATGAAATCCTTGGCCTTTGTTGCAAAATTTATGCTCTTGCGAGTTAAGTACAGGTCATGTTAATAAATTTGTTTTGTAGAATATCAGTGGCAAAATTTGGTACCTTACCATATATAGGTCTGATATCTCTCACTACGTCTATTGTACACTAATATGTGCAACATGTGTACACATATTTAAATAGTTAATTAAGACAATTTTAAGAGCAAGAACAGATGGAGCGTATAATACATGATTTATCGAATTGCAGGAGGAATATGAATTTTTGTTTAGAAAGCTTACCTTGTATACAATTAAAGACTTGTGAGGATATTTTATTGATAGGCCACACCAAGTAATTTTTATGGATTACGTCCTATGGAGACCCTAAATCTAAACCTAAATAAAAAATAAGAAGAGCCGAAAAAAGCAAGATGCCTATTTGGAATATACTAAGGGGCAACAAATGTTAGGACACAAATTGAATGAGAGAACACAGTGTAACAATCAACAACTCTTTTTTTTGAAAACAGCAACGATCACATATTCCCTTATCCCACTGTTGTGACTCTTTGGTCATAGTTACAAGAAGCGGATTTTTTTTTCTTGGAACAGGCCAAAATAAATGCACGCGCAGACGCCATCCATAAAATTTACTTGGTGTGGCCTTAAATAAGGTACAGACATATAACCACCAGTTTTGCTTCAAGGCTAGATCAAACTTGTCACGTATAGTGTTTGCACTCAGTACTGGACCAACAAACTAGACGATCATAACAAACTTTGTATAACTATTTGCATACTTATAATTTTATGAATCTTCCTCTACATTTATGAAAATAAATGCACTTACGGCTGAAATATCATTTCTATACATCAAAGAATTCCACGTTGGGATTTACATGCACCAAATACCATACATCTATAAATATATTGTTATTGAATACCAATTATTTCAAAACTTAAAACATCGACTTTGGCCTTGAAGGCAATAATGTCAACAGATACTAGCTATTTCAAAGCTAGCTAGCCACTGGCAAGCGGTTGTAATTATTATTGATAAACGAAACCCCCCCAAAATTATTTTGTTCAAAGCTGCATTATGTAGCATTAAGGCGATACAAACAGTCAATGTCTGTCATTTCTTTACAAAGTTAAATCAACTCTATTCCATTGCAAAGAAGTGTAATTTAGGGAATGGAGGTGCCAAAATACATGTATCACGTCTTATGGGTGTATGTAAAAGCTGGAAACACAGCTGTCAGCCATGTTTGTTTACATTCTGATATTTTGTGGTGGTACCACAAACTGAGTGTGCCTCGTGTGATCTGTTTTAGTTGTTTTAGCGCAAACCATGAATGTCAGAAATGTGAGGTAATTCTACAAATATGTCCAAAAAAGAAAGTAAATCACAATCACAACGATTTTCAATTTTTAGTTCAATTTTTTTTGTGCAAAAATGTTACATAATTCTTTAATTCTTTAATGTTTCATAATTCTTTCATTCTGTTCACAGTGTGGCAAGTGTTGGATCTGGGAACACACGTCAAGAAAGCAGGTATGTAATATAGCCATTATTAACAACCATGCATTTATAAAAGTGCTTATTTGTTTAACATATAATGTGGATGGGAGACCAAAGCTGGTGATTAAAGGCATCCAATTAAAATTCACGGCGGCAGAACAGAAAAATATTTTAATAAGAAAATATGTTTTTAATATTGACATTTACTGCATTTACATATTTTTGTGATCATTATCTCATACTTCAAACAATTGAAACAGCCCTAAATTGAGCTACGTGAGAAGTCCTTTGTTTATTTTGTTTACCACCGATAATAAGCTACATGTAGAAACAGACTAAGATATACGAAATAAGGCACCTTATTTCGTCAGCGACATCGCTTTTTTGCCTCACAGATTTCATTATGCTATGGGATAGGATTGTTTTATTTTACTACATAAAATTGACAAAAACACATAATTGGCTTTAAAATCCACTTTTTCGCCCTAAAATTGCATGGATGACTTTTAAAAATGACAATTATCACACAGATTTCCCTAACAAAATTTATCTTTAGTCTAATCAACCTAAAATTACATTGTATGCCTTAAAATGCATATTCCAACCATTCCTTTTGTTGTTAGTATTTATAGGCATTCCTTTACATGCCATTTGTGGTATAGACATAACTGATCATTTTATGACTCTTTATATAACTTGTTTACTCTAACAGATTCGTTGTTTGATGTGTCAACCTTTCACAATGCACCAGTTCAAATGCATTTCGGAATACGGATACGAGGTTTAGTACGTTACGTGTTTAGCGTGTAGGATACAAAGGATCTCAAAAAGCTATGGTCTAGTTTGGACTTCCCCACTCTATAAACTGTTTGAGGAGTTTAGGGTTGCTACGAAGTGATGTTGACTTAACACACCTGCTGTATTTGCCCAAGTGGGGTGAACGGGGGGTCGGAAAAATGTGTTACATAAATGGACAAAACGTTGCCTTTAAAAGGGAAGAAAGGTTCACACTTTATTTGTTTTCACCTAGGTCTTTTGACCGGGTAGTAGTTAGTTAGGTGATGATCGCTGTGCTCAGTGTTGTATTTTCGTTGTTAAATTTATGTTTTTGGTAGTTTGCTGTTTGAATACAAAGTTGCTGTTTGAATACAAAGTTGTTACATATGAGTGACTCAGCAGATTTTTTGACATCGTCAGATCACCTGGTTCTAAAGTTATCTGACAGAGGTTTGACCTATATTCCTATATCGTGGTTTAATAGTGGAGTATTTGCTCCAGAACCCATAGGTCCTGGGTTCGAATCCACCCACATGCTCCGACGTCGTGCCCTTGGAAAAACACTTCAAACGAATTTCCTAACTTCACTCAGGTAAACATGAGTACCTAGCTTCGGTAAGGGATGTTCCTCGGATAGGATTTTAAATGGAGGTCCAGTGTTAGGGTAAATCCACATCCACGGACATTAAAGAACCCATCACACCTTAAAAAAAGAGCAGGGGCCCCGGTGTGTGATGGTAGAAATATTACAGTCCAGAGTTGGCGATTCACTACAAATCACCCGGACGGAGGCCTGGCGAACCCTGCCTTGTATATTTAAGCCGAATATATCCCAATAAAAGGTTTGTCTATACGAAGTTTGTTCTCTCCAACATTGTACTATTTACTAGAAGGGTGGAGCAGACAACCTTTGACCAGGTTGTTACTTCTCCATCAGATAATCTTGTCCGAACATAAATAGGTGTTTCGGAGAAAGATCCCGATCTAGAATATAAACATCCTCATAAATCGACAAAACGATGACTGTTTTTGATAGTTGAAAGCTTTTGAATGCTATGTTTTTCGGACAACTTGTCAATGTAAGTTAACATTGACAACATTGGCAACGCCTTGAATGTGATTTAACAAATACCGTGAACATTCAAACAATTAGTCATCGAGAAATGGCCATGATCAACGCAATTATCGTACCAAACATTTGGCTTTTCGCCTTAGAATACTGTTCCTTTCCAAAACGTGTTCCCTTCCAAAACGTGCTCCCTTCCAAAACGTGATTTGGAATACATACTACGAAATGTAATGCATCTGTATTCCAAAATGTGTTGCATTCCAAAATATTTTTGGAATAACACGAAGGGGAAGCATGTTGTGCTGTATTCCAAAACGTTTTGCATTCCAAAATGTGTAATGTGTTGGAATAACACGAAGAGGAAGCATGTTGTGCTGTATTCCAAAACGTGGGCCATTCCAAAATGTTTTGAAATAACACGGTGCGGAATGCATGTTGTAGTGTATTCCCAAACGTGTTCCATTCCAAAATGATTTCGAATACCACGAAGTGGCATGCATGTAGCAGTGTATTCCAAAACCCGGTCCATTTCAGAAAAAGTTTTTTTTTGGAATAAGACGTTTGAATGTGACACATACAAAAGTCAAAGTAACGCGTTTTTTAATGCTTAGCACATACAAACGTAAAAGAGTGAACACGTACTTTGGGCGTGTTCTAACTTGCTGTTTGTGCCTATCTTGGAGGGTGCTCTACCGCCATAAGGGAGTGTTTACCCGTATATAACACCACTCATTGTTCTTATCTCCATCGGGCCTGCCTGTGCCGGGCATCACAAGATAACACACCGACTACTAATATTTATCAACCCACTGAGGGGAAATTCGTGTAATATTCCTCACCGTTACATAAAGGGCCATCAACAGTTTTACCCTCCTATTTATGGTGAATAGATATTTAAAATGTGTGCCTTGAGGACTAAATGTACACGTTTGAGAGAAATTAGTCGTTCTAATGGACTTGTTATCAGGGTCACGAATGATAAGTTTAATTTAGATAACTACTGTTCTTGAGGCTATCAATGGAACGCCCTGTTTGGTACCCCCCCCCCCACACACACCTAATATGTACACACAAAAACAAGGAGGTTATACGCATATGGATCTTGTTTGAGATATGATAAACTTAAGACAAAAGAAAACATAAGAATCTTAATAAAAATGAAATACAAATTTTTTGCTTGTGTTTTTTTTGAAGGGGGATTTTAGATTTACGCATGGTGAGGGAAATCAGTGTTGTTTACCCTTTTATCTCTTATCTTCGTGTGAGGATATTTACCAACAAAACGTGGTCGTGCAAAAAGGGGCGTGGAAGATTTAGAAGTGGACAACCTTTTCTAGTAAACCAAGAGGAAGACCGAAGAGTACAATTAGGCACAAAAATTAGATCAAGAAAAATTAGGTTATGTAGTCAGGAAATTTATTACTACGAGTTAATTTTTTTTGTTTATGATGTTTCATTCATTAATTGATTCAATCATCACGAAACTTCAGTGTTTGTATATATAAAATATATTAAAATTATATATATATATATTAAAAAAACATTGAGAGACATCTCTGCCGGTTGTCACATAACAGGTAATTCAAAAGGCAAAAAACGGCATCAAGATCTTTTGGAATAATTTATTCGCCATGTTTAAAATCTAAATGGTTTCCAGCCAGGTAATTAGCGCCATCTAGCGAATGACTGCAATCTACCATTTAATTCTTCAATAAGTAATTCATGAAAGTCTTGATAGAATTTGTAACGGAGACCAGACTTTCTTAATGATGCGTACTGTCGTTACACACAACGAACATGATGTAGATGTACCTTACCTACATGGTTGTTTCTGTTCGTTCAATCCACAGACAATGGAGAGAGTGGTGGCCAGGTGGTAGTACCGACTACAAACATGCCTCCGCAAGGTAACACAACAGACATTGCCCCATGACAAAAAATACTCTGTAAATATTTAGTATGTTGATCATGTAATGTAGATATAGATTTGTTATCATGTTGATCATGTAAAATGCGCAATTCAGCATCTTTGTACACAAATGAAGCTGCCATGTATTTTACTGAAATATGAACGAAGTCGATAAACTCAATAAAAAAAGTAGTAACAGACACATTTACATAGGGCGTACGTATTACGATCAGGCCAGATAGCCTTAACATGTAAATAGCTTCATAACGTTATCATGGATATTAAGATTGTTGGTTAGTAACACTGACCCTATTTGCAAATTTAAAATGTTTTTGTATAATTTGCATAACCCGCGTAAAAGCTGCCCCTGATAACTCATCTGAATTGAGAATCGTAATGGTTCTTACCGCGTGCTGCATATTGTCCAATTACCATTATAATAGCCCTAGACAATTTGGGCAGCTCTGACGAAATGTCATTTTGTACATCCAAATGAATCAACTTAAATCAACTCTTTCTCAAAATTCAAAACTTTAACGTTGAGCAAAATGATAGGAAGCGTTTTTTGAATTGTATCTTGTATCATATACATGATATGATTCGTCATCTCTTAAGGAAGATAATGCGTTTAGGGTACGCATACTGTTATACTCAAATACGTTGTCGCTATTTTTTTCAGCTAGAGACATCTGTATGACACCGGACTGCCTGCGCACAGGTTAGGGTCTTGACTAAACTGTTTAATGATTTAAAGTTGCATTATGTAACATTAGAACGATAAAAAAGCCATTTCGTAACAAAGTATGTTGAGTCAACCCTACTCCATTACAAATAAGTGTCATTTAAGAAGTGGGGTGCCAAAATAGACCTTCGTCAATAGACTGACTCAGTGAGATTTGACGTCATACTTCCGAGAAGCCACGTGACATGTCACACTGGGCCATTCTATTGAAGAAGACCAGAGTTTCTGGTCGAAAACTTAGGGTGAGAGCAATCCGTTGTGCTGGAACAAAAGTTTAACTATAAAGACATACCTTCTGTGTTTAGAGTTAATGCTTTTTGAACACAAAGAAGTTCACTCACCTAGAGCTTTCGCCCACTCTGGTCTTCCTCATCAGTAGACTGACCCAGTGAGGCTTGTCACGTCGCTTCTCGAAAGTGTGACGTCAACACTGGGTCAAAGGTATCTGGTAGACAATATTGGCCCCCGTCACGGTTGAGCCAAGGGCCCTGATGTAAATAGCATCTTTCACACCTCTCAGGAAATAGACATGTTCGGTGTCCAATATTCTCACAGTGTTCATACCTTCTGTATTGCAGCCGCACGCTTGCTGGAGTACATGGACCCTAGCATTGACCCATGTGAAAACTTTTTCGAGTACGCCTGTGGAGGATGGCTGGCGAAAACCGAGATCCCTCCGGACTCGGGAAGGTTCGGCACCTTCAACCAGCTTCGGGACGACCTGACCGCCAACATGAGAGGTAACGAGAATACACGAGAACATGCGCGAATTTTCTCCTTGTCTTTTGCAAGGCCACACTGACTTAATTTTATGGATGACATTCTCTGAATATAAGGAATACAAACCAAAAAAATACAGAGGACGCCATCCCTCGTAGTTACCACCGGCTCCCTATTGTCGTTAGCTAATAGGGAGCCGGAGGATGGCACCCAAGCCAGAGCCTCGGAGGAGGTGATTTTTTGACAACAGGCGCGGATCCATAAAATTAAATCAGTGTGGCTTAGGGTATAAATATTGAATTTTATGATGCATTGTTAAATACATGTAGTCAATAATGGTTCCATATCTTTATGTCTATCTAGAAAGTTAAAATTGTTAACCTATGATTATTCTATCTCAATGCATAGATGTTATTGAAGACACCGCTCTTGACAAAGGCGTGGAGGTGGTGGAGAAGGCGCGGACTTTGTATCGGTCTTGCATGGACGAGGGTAAGCAATAGTGCCCTGTTCTAACTATACTGTACATGGTATAATGTGTGCCAACAACTGTACAAAACGAGGTATAGATAGAACAAAACTTAACATCCTAATTATTAAAACAAGGGCGAGCAACAGTCTCGAATAAAGAATAATAATTTCAAATTATGCACTTTCTACAGGGATGCTGGACGACAAAGGAGCCACGCCACTCACTAATCTCACCACCCATCTGAATGGCTGGCCTGTGATAGACGACAGCTGGAATGGGGCCAATTGGAACCTGTTGGACACTCTGACCAAACTCATGAGATACAGCAACAGTCTTCTCATGAGTATGTACGTCACTGCTGATGACAAGGACTCAAGCGTCTACATCCTTGCCGTAAGTAGCTGGAAATCTTAAGTCCCTGTCACACATTCACGACTCTGACCCCATTTAGGCCACGCCTACCTTTTATGTATGACTCAAAACAAATTTGAGTTAAATTGGAATCAAATTTAAATTTGATTTCTAGACACATCCGAACAATGCTAACTTACTTACAGATGATTGGCTCGTATTTTCTGACTTACGGTCGAAAACCAGCCAACTATGATCGAACCTCCCAAAGGACCCACGAATATTAAAACGTTTTGAAACATAATAGTTATGGAATTCCTACCTTGGTCTATGTTGCAGAATTTAATTATTTTTCTCTTCTACAGTTCGACCAGGCTGATCTTGGATTGTCCAGTCGGGAATATTTCTTAAACCCTGGCTTGAGTATTGTAAGTTAATATAGATACGAACTTTAAAACTTGAAATTAAATACATTAATACATAAAGCAGCTGGATATCTGGATTGAATACATTTATGGATTCATAAAAAGGTTTCATTCTAGATGTACGTATGTATGACTATTTTTCTTTATCTCGTGGCAATAGTCATAGAATATGTATGACAATATATTATCATTTTCAGTACAAAGACGGTTATCTGAATTATACCATTGACATCGCCCTACTATTACGCGGGGACGGTAACCGCGCTACGGTAGAGTCACAGATGAGAGCCATGGTGGACTTTGAGACAAAACTCGCAAACGTAAGTATATCTTACCAGTAACTGCCATCTACAAATCCCTAATGTTTCCTACATTGGGGATTTGTTCATATTGGCCTTCGTAGTTTTTCGGCCACGCCCCGGACCGATTTTCTAACCGGACTAAAAATTCAGAACACCGGCAAACCCGGTCGTCACACTATTAAAACTTGACCCTCAATATGGCCAAGCTGGACGTCATTGTTACTTTTAGTTAGTTTTATTTTGTATCTGTCAACCTGTTCATAATGTTTTGTTGGGACCTATAAGTAGCCAGGTGTGGCAGAAATATGCAATAAAATCGTCACATGTTTGTATTTTTTAGATCACAGCTCCTCCAGCCGAACGTAGAGACCCAGAGGCATTGTACCACAAGATGAAGCTGTACAACATGTCTGACTACTTTGAGGTAATCATGACAACATTATAAGGTTATTAAATTGCTTTGACATGGCCAATGAAAGGGAAACAGCAAGGTCTCATTTACTCATGTTTTAACCCTCTCAGTATATTCCATCGATTGGTCACCAATTTCACATTAATTTTATGCAATTTTCTGGCATGATAAAGCCTAAAACTATTGGCCGTGAGACTACTAAATACGTTTTTGATGATACTTTTCATTGTGATTAATCCTTTGATAAAGTCACTCCAGTACCCCCTGTCCCCATAGTGGACACTAGAGCAGTCCCTTCGAGAGCAGTGTTTTTGTCTATCATTGACAATAAAGTCTCTGTGTCGCCCAGTGGGAAGCCACTGGATTAGTCTACCATATGCCCTGCCAGGGCTAGCCTCCTTCGCAGTCTTGTTGGGCGTCGGCGTTATTTTTCTCTGAGCGACGCGAGTAATATGCGGCCGAGGGATTTTTGCCACGGAGAGAAGGTTTCGCGCGTTGGAGCGCGAAACCTTCTCTCCGTGGGAAAAACTCCCTCGGCAGCAAATCGTTCCTCGCGGCCGCATATTACTCGCGTCGCTCAGAGAAAAACTAACGCCGACGCCCAACAAGACTGCGAAGGAGGCTATGCCAGGGCGATCCTGCGTCGTCGTACTACATGTACAGACGAAATGGGCCGAACAGAGCCATAGAGTTGTTGACTTTATCTACCGTAATCGCAGTTCCCGTGGGTTGAGTACGTGAACAACGCGGCGTACAATCTGGGAGAGACCATCACAGAAAATGAAGACATCCTGAACTATGCCCCCGACTTCTTCATGAAACTTGGACCACTTCTGGCTGAAACAGACAACAAGTAGGTCTAGGTCTTTCATACATTTCTCATTGTATAAAATATGTTGTAACCTCTGAAATCGTCAACTACATGTAGATGGTCAAAAGCAATGGCTACATCTGATCGTAAAAAGAGCATATATAACATATATATATGTACCTAATCTTGGCGCAAAGTTAGATCATCATCATATTACTATACATATAAATTGACAGTATTGCAGAGTGCTGAATGTATTTTTTAGCATGAAGAGTCAGAATATTAGAAATGAATACATGTCATATTTAAAGTTATAACTTTTGTTTCAACGCAAAGATTGTTCTCATGTAGAGCTTTCGACAAGTCACTCTGGTCTTCAATTATATAGACTGAGCCAGTGAGTCATTTACCTTTGACCCATTGTGATGCCATCCTTCAGAGAAGCCACGTGACAAGTCTCACTGGGTCAGTCTATTGAAGACCAGTGACTGGTCGAAAGTTCCAGATGAGAACAATAATTGTGTAGGAACAAAACCTTTAACTTTCATGATAGAAAACATGTCATGGTTATATAAATGATCCATGTTGAATCTTTTTTAAACATTCTTTTCTCGAAAGGACCATTGCCAACTACATCGTTTGGAGAATGGTACAGAACAGAATTGGAAACCTGGGAAGTGATTTCCTGAAGATCCGTGAGAAGTTCAACAGGGACATCTTCGGCGTGGAGCCTTCCTCCAGGTGAGAGACGCAATCCTTTTTCTCATAACTTTAGTAGCAAAAATTTACATAGAATCTGAAAGAATAAATTTGCAGACTTATTAAATATGTACTAAATTTCTTAGAAAAAGCTGAATGCCCTATCACAAGGAGATGGAAGATGAAGAACCGAGGAAAATGGGGAACATATTTACATAATGATTTATTATCCTTTGATTCATATTTACTTTAAAGTTTTGTTTCATTTAATTTTTTCTTTGGATGGTTCACCTTATTATGTTTACCGAAGGAAAATATATTGTTTTTTTTTGCTCTGTTTCCTCTTCTTCTCCAAGCCAATAAGTCAATGACCTGAACGAGACGTCTGTCCGAATGGTAACTGGTGTCGGGTTACATCATGTGGCAATTTTGTAGCAGGAGGGATTTAGACTCCTTTCTCACCATGTATATGAATGTGTTTGAGTAAGAATTAACAGAGCAGGCCATATGCGAAGGTAAACATTATGCATTTGCTTTGCAAATGTTACCTTTGTAACTTGATTTGTGCCTTCTTTGGTTGTTTAGTTTGGGTCGTTCACCTTATGTTTATATTGTGTTTATTCGTGAATATAAAAAGGTGGGAGACCTGCGTGTCGGTGGTGAACAGCGTCATGGGAACTGTCGTCAGCCGTCTGTACCTGCCCAAATTCTTCCAGGAAGAAAGCAAGGAAAAGGTATCTTATTATCATTAAATGCTGGTAGAAGACATGATAGAAACTTTATTTCCAACACAACAAATTGGACCCACATTTTCGACTGTACAACCCAGCTTGTCAAGGAATGAGCAATGCATCGCTTCTGTGATGCTACGTTCTATGTTACGTCACATTATGACACACTTGACTCGGTAAACAGTGGATCATAAGTTACAGAAAGTCTGTGGTGCCCCCCGTCTTTGTTGAGCGTAGGTTGCATTGAAATGATGTAGATCACAGCAGATATCAGTTTGCCACCCATTGAAAATTCAGTTTTGCCACCCATTGAATTCCCTTATCTCAGTAGTTTAAGATACAAAATTTTCAAAATAAAGATAAATGATGCTAAATAATCTTTATTATAATGCTGGAGATTTTAGATAAGAATAGATAGATAAATAGGTCCAGTACCAGGAATTATTTAACCTTATTCCTAACATCCAAGTTTTTTTCTGTGCTGTAGGCTGTAGAAATGATCGACGGTATCAGGATTGCCTTCAATGAACTGCTCATCGAGAACAATTGGATGGACGATGCCACAAGAGCTGTAGCTGAAGAAAAGGTGAATCTTGAAATTCAGCAGCGTTGTAGGATTTACATAATTTGTAGACTTTACATTTGAAACCGCACTACATCTGGAACTATACTATTAGTATGTTTTAACAATATCTATGTATCAACTACGCGATGGTTGGGACCGTATTGTTAAGACCTAGCTTGAGTGCACAGTGAACCAGTCATAATTACCCTGATGATAACGTCGGCTCATGTTTAAAAGAAAAAAAATTGTGGTCGTGAATAACTTTTCTATGATCTTAGGAAAAGGAATTATGAAAGGGGCATTTATTTATTGTGCAATTTTACCTACTAGGGTAAGCATAATTCTCACGTTTACAAATATGCACATGTACATGTACATATGGTCATGTACATGGGCAAATTTACGCTAAAGAATTTTGTCTTCCTCTTACATGCAACAAGTTCTATTGTGCGATTCATAACTGAAACTCGAGCGGTATTCCCACACATTATTCCCACAGGCAGCGGCTATGAAACAGTTCATCGCCTATGATGACTACATCGTCAACAATCTGACTAGATTGACTGAGGATTATGAAATGGTACGTCACATATCTTTTTTCTTAGTCTTGTTGTTGCCTTTTGGTTTTTAATCTTAATTTCGTATATGTCCTTTTTTTGGCTAAAATATACTGAAACAATGAACACTGACATCTCGTCTTAAGTATCTATGTGTTAATTTGGAAGATATATATTGTTCATTAATAAAAAAAAATATTTATTTATTTTACCAGTAAATCACACTCTGGTCTGTGGCCTGTTTTTCAGGTGTCCCCCTGGGTACATTCAAAAAATTGATAAATACGTACATACATACATAATTTATAAGTATATATATGTATACATACATACATACATACACACACAATATTTACGTCGTATTTCTGATTTTTTTTATTATTCCATTGCTATGCAGCTGCACTTCCAGGAAACTGAGTATTTCCAGAACGTTCTGCACAATCTGGAAGTTTCCAACAACGAGTCCTTCACCTACCTGAGGAAACCGGTGGAGAAGGATGAGTACGTAAAATGCCAACTTCCAAAATTGTCAATGGATTATCCATTAAAAATCCTCTATTCAATGCTTTAACCGTTACTAATGGGGCTTCAAAGGCATATGCTTCACCTCGGCATGCTGAGGATGACTGACGACCAATAGGGTTGAAGAAACAAACCCCTACATCTACCGACTGCTTTGATTGGCTACCGTAGATGAATCAGCCAATCAGCCACTGTACTTTGGACACTGCATGACCTCAATGTTTATTGGTTTGCTGTTGATCAACTTCCGTTTAACTGTATACCCATGGATAACAGCCTTTCTTTTAGGAGAGGGTGGAGTGTAAACTTTAAGGAACATAAAAATTCATCAACGTACAATTACAACAAGACTGGCAATGAAAACATACATTGTCATGGCGACGGTAGTTGCTGTTAGGGTTATTGTTTGCATGGTACTCAGCCATCATTTCATGATTTTGAGGAAGACTTGGTTCCTGTTAAGTCTAGACAGATACAGTACACTCCTCCCCTGAGTGTATAGTGAACGAGCCCCGGGGTCACAGAAAGTAGGGCCATCTGGGGCAGACAGGTCTTCAGGGTTCCAGGAATGTGGGCATAGATGTGGGTCAGAGAAATGCCTGTGGACATTCCGCATGCCTGTGGACAAAATGCCTGTACAATTCCTAGAATTCTTGCGAATTGCACACAATACTGTACCATTAGGCTCCTCCCTGAGACGTCGCCAAAAAAAAATACATCTACATACAGTTATCCAAAAAAGTCTCAATTATCTTTAAAGATTTGTGTCAACCACAGTGCCTCTTATTAATTGTACATTTACAGTTATGTTTTTTTGTCATTCCTGTAGGTGGATATCTTCGCCGACCATTGTAAATGCCTTCTACTCTCCATCCCGGAACTCTATTAGTAAGATATTAATTTTTTAATTATTGCTCAACAATTGACATAAGACATCAATCAATACATTTATTTTCTAACAACTAATGCGTATATCTTTTCTAGACAATTCACATATTGAGTTATCCACCATCACGTGTCTTTATTTCCTTGTAGCTTTTCCAGCTGGCATTTTGCAAGGCCCATTTTACGACGGAACATACCCAAGGTAAGACGACAATTCTTAAGTTACTGATTTAGCTTGTGTAGATCCTTACACACTAAATGGCTTACCAGCAAATGCAACCCCGTATTACTATTTTCCAATATCCAGATTTTTCAGGGTTTATCTTGTAACATGTAGCAACTATTTTTGTGCAGTTTTCCACATGACATAAGACATCAAGCAAAGAGACCTAAAAAGGTTTCCCAGTCAAACGATTTATTTATTTATTTATTTTATTTATTTATTAAAATTCATCACAACAGTGAAAGGGACGGGGGAACAGGTGTAACACCTTTACCAGCCCTCATCCCGATACAGCATACAAATACAATAGACTCAAGTTTAAAATAATGGGTGAACAATATGAGAATTACATAAACATATACATATACATAATGAAAAAAAAGACGACATGATTATAACAACAATAATAATAATAACAAGTGGTGCACCATCATTCATATTTGCTATTAACAAGTTGTCTGTAACCAGGTATTTGAACTACGGCGGCATTGGTGCAGTCATTGGTCACGAGATTACCCATGGTTTTGATGACTCAGGTTAGTAAATAAATACCTCACATGAACTTCATGTCTACGTAGACCAGACGCATTTCCACATGCAATATATATATATGACAGACATGTGTTATCCCTGGACGTATTCAACTTTCTTTGTTACCCTCTGTTGGACGAACGTTCCATAGTTTCATTGTTTATCGATTAAATTGCACAGTATCAAAAACAGGATTGACTTTATTGAGATTACAGCAAGCAAATACAATGTGGGCACTAAGTGCTAGCTGATAACAGGACCACATATTCCATACGTATTACCTACGTTGTACATTATATAAATACACAAGAAAACAGCATAATAACATAATATGATCATAAAAGGCACGTTTAGGAGGATGAAAGAGACCTTAAACACAATGTCGTAAAGTCCATTCACAATATTTTTTTACTCATATAGTTCCATAGCTCGGCATTGTGCTCGGCACTTCCCTGTTTTCTTCAGTTGCGTTATTGTATAGGATAGTTAGTTACAGTTTGTTCTATGTTTTTCAGGTCGTCAGTTTGACAAAGACGGTAACCTGAACCTGTGGTGGGACCCTACCGTAGCCGACAGGTTTAAGGAAGCCGCTCAGTGCGTTATGGACCAGTACAGCATGTACCAGTTTGAGGAGGCAGGGGGCATGAATGTAAATATCTATCCTTTCAATACTCATAGAAAATTCAAACACTACTACTGGATAAAGTACAGAGTACAAATTACAAATAAAATAAAGTACAAATAATACCCGGACGTTTCGAGTGACATCCACCACTCTCAGTCTTCAGCGTCACTAATGAACTAACAGAACTCGATAAAGCATATGTTGGGGTTGGCAGAATGACACATTTTCATACATATGAATATGTAGTTGTGAATGAATTATGAATATTTGATAAGTTATATGTTAAAAAATTAGGCGATTGTGATGCAATTGTTTTTGTTTTATTCACATGTAGTTGAGCGGAGTTATCACTTCTGGTGAGAACATTGCTGACAATGGAGGCATGAAACAGACCTTTAGGGTAAGTACACGAACATGAAACTATACTAAGTCTTGAAGAATATATACCCTTACATTTCCAGGATATACTGTAACATTCAACTTTACAAATTTTTAAACATTTTGTCTATGCAATTTTTAATTTTTTTAATGGGAAGCCAAATGACCACTTCTAGGCAATGAGCTAGGTGGCACGACAGACGTATGACTGCAAAAAGATGGCAGTGAATGTAAATTATGGTGCACATAGGTCACAGTTTTCAAAACAAAGACAAAAAACTTCGCACTTTTTTTCTCAGGCTTACCAGAGTTGGGCTGCAGCCAACGGGCCGGAGCCAACACTGCCTGGACTGGACCTGAACCAGGAACAACTGCTCTTCCTCAACTACGGACAGGTAAATAAATATAAAGTGCCTTTGTATACACATTTTTTAAAGAATAAAATATATGTCTTACTACTAAAAAAAAAAGGAAATGCTTTCAGTAAATACGTCAAGTCATTGAAATTACTGACTGAAAAGTACTGACCAACTTTAACCAAATTGAAGCATGTATGGCATCTTGAGATCTGGGTTTTCTCATGTTCCTTCCGGATCCTTATGCTTTTCGTCCTGTATGACTTTAGATCTGGTGTTCCAAGTACCGTTACCAGAGTGCTGTCAGCCAGGTGCTCAACGGCCCGCACAGTCCCGGCAGATTCCGGTAGGTGGCGCTTTAACACACACACAGCCAATCCTTTAATAGGGTCCTACGTGTATTTAGTGCAATAATAGGTTATTACGTTTACCGAAGAAAAACATATTGTTTTTGCTCTGTTTCTTCTTCTTCCGTTCCAAACAAATAAGGTCAATGACCAGGACCAGACGTCTGTCACCATGTAAACTAGTGTTAGGCTACATCATGTTGCAATTTTATAGCAGGAGGGATTTAGACTCCTGTCACCATATATATGAATATGTTTGAGTAAGAACCAACAGAGCAGACCATATGGGACGGTAAACATTATACATTTTCTTTTCAAATGTTACCTTTCTAGTATATTCTATTTCTTCTATTTATTGAATATTTTACCTTTTACCTTAATTTCTACTCCGTATTCGGTACTTTTATTTTACTTATTTTTTTTTTTGTTTTTCTATCTAGTGTGATCGGTACATTGTCCAATACCCCTGGGTTCGCCACGGCCTACAAGTGCCCTGTCGGATCAAAGATGAACCCCGTGAACAAGTGTGCCGTCTGGTAGATGTTTTATAGAACAATCGGGACTACATATAGTACCATACAATATAAAAAAAAGTAATAAAACAAAATCTATGCAAAGTGTGCTTTCTGAGAATTATCTGTGATATAATAATAACGCCAATAGCATTATATATACAACACTTATAGAAAATTTAATAATTTAGGAATTATGTATTAAACAATCATTATGATATATGATACGTGTTTTGATAATTTAAAATGTATTAAACAATCCTATATTTTACGTGTTGGTAGATAACACATTGTAAAGTTCTTCAGCTTTGAATGCAGCGCACATAGATAATGTAATGGCGAGCGGTTGATAACAAAGACTAACTCGCCATAGGATATTGTTTGGCCACATTCATTGGTCTTCGTTTAGTACCTGACCCATACATTTCTGACAGCATGACGTCAGAGGTAGGTCAAAGGTCACCTGAAGTCGATCTCGTCCGCCGTTCTGTTCATAGATGTTGATGGGCTCTATTGTAAATGACCTTATTCATACTCAAATGATGTATTAATTTGGTATTCCTAATGGAATAGAAAATAAGTATCCTTGTTGTATGTGTTTTTTCTTGAACAGCTAGAAGTGATAACGCTGCTTTTGGTTGGGATTTGAGTTTTCTTTTTCTGTTAGCTAAACGGTACTTACATTTAAACGTCTCATGTCATTTCTCTCATGCTATTAAGAGTCAAAATAAACAGATTTAGAATCAAGGGTTTGCGCGTCCCTCTTCAGCTATCTTTATTCTATTCACTCTTTACAACTAGATATTCAGTGAAAGTGATGTGATGAAGTCGCTACCACACTCTACGACTATCGCAAGAATAGTTTTACGGTCTTACGACTACTTGACGATCGCGCGACAACTGTAACATTAGCTAGGCTTGCGTGCTCAGCAAGCTGACTTATAATGTGGTGAAAACGGATCCAATGCAACTTTTGGGCGGCGAAACAAAAAAAAAAGTCTGTATGTATGTGAGTCATACTTACCACCCATAATTAGTTAAACCTGCATACGATACGCAAGGAATCGTTTTCTGTCAGTAAGATCACATTTTTACCTCATTTCTAATAGTATATGCTATGGGATAGGGTTGATTCAACTTACTAAAACAAAAGAAGAATAACCAGAAAGTTGACTTTGAAAAGAGAAATGCCGCCCTGAAATTCCATTGGATGGCTTTAGTTCTGATGCACTTTTTCGACATTCAATCTCCGTCTGCACACTCTGGTCTTTGCTATACAAATGAGTTGTAAAGTCTTGGTCTTTGCTCATACCAAATACCTAAAGTCCTGCTTGACAGTTGAGGGACAGGCAGACAAACACGGGCGTGCCGCAAGGTTCTGACGGCTTCTTCATCAGACATACCGAGAGCAGGCGAGACGCAGACCGGGAGCCAGCGGGACACAGACCGGGAGTAGGCGGGACACAGACCGGGAGCAGGCGGGACACAGACCGGGAACAGGCGGGACACAGACCGGGAACAGACGGGATGGCGTCCGCGCACGAAGTCGTCTCTATGACCAGTTTAGCACATGCAGACTCAAAAGCCAAGATTTTAGACGAGGTATGAAAATTCTGTTCTTATCACTGCCGGCCACTGATAATTGTTTTTTTTTTCTTCATAAAGATTTTCAAGAATATATCAGGACCTTGACTAATAAACTTAAGGTGAATTTTACAATTTGCATAACGTTACCCTCTTACATTATCCAAAAGCTTGCCTACGGTGATGTAGCTTTTTCGGACCACTATATGTTAATTTTATTGTAGTTAAACTGGATGAAATCAGGAGTTATGAACAGGTTACGAGTCTCCGGGATTTTCCAGCGTTGTCAAATTTGAAGATTTTGTTCATGTCGTCACAGTTTCTGCTTGCAGCCAAGTTGACTTCATATTACACAGATACTACATATTACAAACTACGTCTTGCGATGGCCACACATTGCTTGGTGTGTCATCCGCTACACATTTGTAACGGCAATGCTTTATCAGTGAATGTAAGTCTCTTAGTTGTGTGGCCTAGTAACAGTAGTGCACACTGTTGCTTCTACGTATTTGTCTTAGAGGGAGGGGGCGGCGTACAACCACTTGAGAACAATGAGAGCTACTTCAGGAGCGTTAACTTTATACCCTTCTCTCCGTTACATGCATGATTTCACAGTAGATATTTCCTATTCGTAAAAAAATAGCACCATAACGAAACATCTCAAAATAGATTTCGTATCATCATACAGCTCTTTTTGCAAGCAAAGATTCTAACAAACAAAACAAAACAAACAAAAAATCAAGTGAATCAAGCAAAAGACTAGCCTGGTTACCAAACCTATTATAGCTCCCGAGTCCTACATCCTCTCCGCAAATAGCGGAGAGGATGTTGGACTCGGGAGCTATAATAGGTTTGGTAACCAGGCTAGCAAAAGACTGCAATAACCCCGACCTAACTCGCTTAGAAATATGTTAATGCTAAAATATCTCTTCTCATAAAAGTTTTTGATGTTTATTAATGCTTTTGTTGCTTTTCTGACGGATTGTGAGTTAGATTGTGTTGTTTGTTCCCGTAGGATCCAAATGTACAGTACAGTAACGGAAGGTCATCCTGGCAGTCTATCCGGGATGGTCTGATGCTGTTGCTTCAGCTCTTCATTGCTGTTGTCGTAGCTGTGATATGTAAGTCTGAATTGTTATATACACACTTATATATTAACGAAATCGAATATAAAAGATAAAGCATAAAATAGGTGCTCATCAAATTCTGTAAAAATGTGATTAAGTGTAAATTCGACTGAAAATATGGGAAACACAAAAAGGGACTTTTTTGAATGTGCATCGTCAAATGTTATTATATGTGAAACTATGTGACCCTTTAAAAATATGATTCAGTTATGTGAAATCTGACAACTCTAAAACGTGACCGAAAAAATGTGAATGTAAAATGTGAGAATATGCGAAGGAATGTGAAGCATTTTATTTAATACGATCTATGCTCTTTTTGCTTTAATTTTGGGCAATCAAGTTTTACGATAAATGTTGATTTGTGATTTTTTTTACGTATAGACACTGTCTTGGATTATTTGATTTTGTGCCTTTGATGTTTTCCTTTCTTTTGCTAGTGTGGAAGGTGTTTGTAACTGAACCAATTGCTGCGAATGGATCATCTGCAGGTAAAGTACAACATCTTACACCTCAGAGAAAAATTTGTTTGTTTTACATGTTTTATATATATTTTTTTCTTTACGATACTTGAAGAAAAAGTTACTTCTGCACCTTCATTACTAAAAGGTTTTCCATATTGTCAACTAGGTATCGGTCAAGTAACACCGACTTACAAACCTGTAACAAACGCACCGACGCCGGCAACACCAGGTACATAGACAGAGTTATTAAAAAGAAGTTATTCTTACGCCAGTGTCATTATTTAAAAAAAAACACTGCATTCTATTCCCTTGTTCTCGAAATCTGACTTTGTATCGTTTACGCTCGCTTACCTTTCTGATTATTTACGATCTCACATGGGTGATTTAATGTCTTTATTGAAAAAGAAAGACCCGTCACCTTTGTAACTACATTTCTATGCCCTGGTTCTTTTCAGAACCTGAAGTATGCATGACGCCCAACTGCTTGCGAACAGGTAAGGTGACGCATTTCAAGTGAAGTGTCTGTCAGCTCAGGATTGAGTCCAACAAAGGGTTTCTAAAGAATACGCTTAGTGGGACATATATACTCGTTTATCATAGCTGTGTATAGAGTCAAGGTTGATCACATAGTTAAGGCCCGCAGCATATCCAGACATAAAAACCTATTATTCAATATGTTCTGTAAGGGGACAAATACAACAGTGCGTGCTTTCAGATGCAATTTTAATGTTTAAACTAGCTTCATGCTTTGCCTCCTCATATTAACTCTTAACATACATTTGTATACTTCTGTAGAAAGGAAATAACACGCCCCATTGACCAAATGACTGATACAGTCGGTGCACGTCGACGTGTGCTATTTTCTTAGTAAATAATGGCTAAGAGATGTCTAGTTTTTGCTCACTCCCTTTGTTTGTTCACATTGGTCAGCATTAATTTTTTTTTAAATTTTCAACGGTTGTGTAGATCAGCGCTTTTTAAACATACCTTAAGTTAAAAAATATCATTTTATCATAGTATCATAGTAGAATGTTATTAATATCATAGTTGAGTGGATTCATTCCTCAAACTAACTGACATCTAGCACACATCAGTTATCACTCAGTAAGACATCTGGAGCTGCATAGTTCCCGTTTAGATGTCGGTTTGATAGCTTAAGCTTAAGCTTTGTGAATCCACTGTACTATGTACTGAATTATCATGTGTTGAATACAATGATGATGCTAACAATTTTTCAGTAAAAATTCTGCATACATATTTGAAACTGGTTTGAAAAAAAGTTTTGGTCATATTAAGACATGTGCATGAAAGGGTTTTATGCCGTAAGTTTGAACTGTAATTTCCAGCACAAAGAAGCGGTGGATTGCTCATTCCTTCACAAAGACTGGAGGTGGGGTCGTGTGGCGTAGTGGCAGAGTACGCGACTCGGAACTTAGAGTCCCGGGTTCGAGTCCTGACATGCCACCGATCTTGTGCCCTTGGGAAAGGCACTTTACACGACTTTCCTCACTCAGTTCAGGTGTAAATGAGTTTGTCCTGTCATGTATTTGATTTGTCCCTTGTGTTGGTGGCGGCATTAATATAAGTTGAAAAAACTTGAGTGTGTCGTCACCACGTCTGGTGATTACATGTTGGAATAAAAAAAAAAGACTGGAGTTGTACAGTCGAAACTTTTGGTAAGGCCAATTCTTTCTGTTGGAAATTACAGATTAAACTTAGGGCATAATGATGTCTACCAACACAGATGAGCTTTCAAGATATAAAAGAGTGTTTATTTATTTATTTGTTTGTTTGTTTTGTTTGTGCAAAGCCGCCCGATTGGTTGAGAACATGAACACGGACGCTGACCCATGTGAAGATTTTTACGAGTACGCGTGCGGAGGTTGGCTGAAGAACACCGTGCTGCCGCCCGAGGCTGGGCGGGTCAGTTCCTTCAGCGCACCGTCAGCTTTCATCGTCTCCGCCATGAGAAGTAAGGGCCAAGCACTTTGTGTAGAAGCCACAAGGGGCCGCTTTTTTTCTTTAATTTTCCCGATCGATCAATATGAGAACATGTATTTTTTAGGAAATTCTTCCTAAGGATGTATAATGTCGCAGGAGAAAAATGCCTTAATTTCATACTTTTGTATGTTCCATGTTCATATATTCTTAAAAATGAAATTTACTGTAAAATCTATAAAATAAATGAAAAAAACATTTTGATCTGCTGCGGAGGTCAACTGAACTACACAATACTCACTCTGGAACACAGTTGCGTAAAGTGGCGCATTTATACACGAACAGGAAAAAACTTTACAATCCAGAGCATACAGTCTATTTTTATACCACACTGCGTAGTTTACTCCTGGCTACCTGTCACCTTAGACGATCTAGCCAGGATTCTAGAATCCTTTTTGTATACGTGGGTCTCCCATTAATATTGTATTCTGTGGCTTTGTCATTGCATTGATATGGTGCACAGATCAGTAGTTGATGACATTATGACTCCTCAGGTCTCCTGGAAGCTACAAACTTCGAGTCAGATGTAGAAGCCATACAGAAGGCAAGGGCATTCTACAAGTCCTGTCTCAACGAAGGCAAGTTTCTCTACGTCACTACCAAACTACTATTTAGTCAGAATTTGGTAAGGGTACGATCCAAGTGTCACGAACATGCAAATTAGGTATTTTGTAATGCAGATTAGGCTTGGTGGTGCTACACACTCTAACCACAAGTAAAAAAAAAAGAAGTAACTTAGTAGCCAGGTGTAATAGCGCCCCTAGCGGTTCAGTTGTGATTTTTAAGGAGCTTTTTATCGGCAAGGCGATGTATTTTTGGCGACGTCTCAGGGGTGTAACGAATTATACATCTCATATAGATTGGCTGCATTTTACGTTGCAGTAACCTTGGACTTGAAAGGTGCCCAGCCACTGCTTGACCTACTCCAGGAGCTGAACGGTTGGCCCGTGCTGGACGACGATTGGTCAGACGACAGTTGGGACCTTTTGGACACTCTGGTCAAGTTGCGCATGCGCGGTAACAGCCTGTTGTTCAGCATGTACCTCACAAGAGACGATAAGAGTTCTTCCAATTACATCCTTGCGGTAAGTTTGCTTTAGACCGTTAGTTATGTTTACCGAAGGAAATCATATTGTTTTCTTCTCCGTTCCAAACACATAAGGTCAATGCCCTGGACCAGACGTCTGTCACCATGGTAACTAGTGTTGGGTTACATCATGTTGAAATTTTATAGCAGGAGGGATTTAGCCTCATGTCTGACCATACATATATATATGAATGTATTTGAGTAAGAATTAACAAATTTGAGCAGACCATATGCGAAGGTAAACATTATGCATTTGCTTTATAAGTGCTACCTTTTTAGTTTTATCCGGAGTTTCATTTACTGTTTGTACAGTACAATAAACAGAAGTTGTCTTTCTTTTGATGTCTTATATCCCATGCAGAATTTCTATCAAAGAAGGCAAAGCAAGAAATGGTGAAATCTGTAAATGAACATTTAATTCAAGGGTCATGCTAACTTCATGTATTACGAATGAGATTTTTAATAACGAATCAATATGGACTAATGATTGAATGGCTACCTCATACCACGGTTAACGTTTATCTATTGTTTTCAGTTTGACCAGGCGGGCCTTGGGCTTTCAAGTGAAGTCTATTACCTTTCAGACAGCTATGAAGGGGTAAGATGAAAACTTAAAACGCATCAGCAAATACCATTACTGACGTTAATTAACTGTTAATGCAAATGTTATAGTAAGTAATGTTAGGCCATATGTGTGTGTGTGGTGATGTAAAACATACAAGAGGATTCTTATGCTTCAAAATCTATCCAGTTGCTTGAGTAACTGTTATCTTGTGGATGAAGTTTGGTCTCTTTTCGTTTCTTTTTTTCACACAGATTCGACAGGCATACCTAAACTATTCAGTAAACATTGCAGCGAAACTGCGACAAGATGGAAATCGCACAGTGGCGCTGCAGCAAATGCAGGACATGTTGGACTTTGAAATAAAGCTAGCTGAGGTCGGTAACGTGCTAAATGATATAATAATAAGGATGACTTTGCTTTATAACATAATTTAGGATGTGATAACTGATTTATGATGTAATTCGTGATATATAACTGCAATGTATGATATACATGTAATGTATGATATATGACTGTGCTTTATAATATAATGACTATATATATTATAGATATATTTTCTTGTCAATCAGGACATGAGAAGTTGGGTTAGACACTCGATACTTAAAGCATGCTCAAGAGTGACTCCTATCGATATTTTCTTAAACTACAAGTTAGTCTGTAACATCTGTTCTTTGTACTTATTGTCTTACCTTGCCTCAGATATTGACCCCTCCAAGCGAGCGACGTGACCCGGAAGCACTCTACCACAAGATGACGTTAGCTGACATGTCAGGATATTTTGACGTAGGTAGTAATGACTTAGCATGAAAGTTCATCTGTGTTGGTACAAATCATTATGAAAGTAATGATTTTATAATATCCGTAATGACGTTATGATATCTCTGCCCATTTTTGGTATGTTGAACAGTCAGAGGGCAACAATTTTTTTCCAAAATCAGCTGAAATTAGTGCCCGCGCTGATGTCATCCATAAAAATTACTTACTGTGGCCAAACTCTTATTTCAATGTCATTGAATCATTACAGCCATAAACCATGAAATTGTATGTCAGTGGCAGGTTAAGTACAGAATGACAACGACAAAATGCCTTATATATTATATGAGATGTTATAATTGATCTTTTGTGATACTGCATGTATGAAATGAATCACAATGTTACGGAATTCCAGTTCGACTGCTTGCAAAATCGATGTGGTGTGAATCGAATGTATCTGAAAGGGTACTGAGCAATTACGGTTCGGTTTTCATGGTCGAACGGAACTTAAATGCCATCCGGCGGCGACATTTTGTAGTAAGACTTTCCCTAATGTGTCTTTGATCGGGTTCAACTGGAAAATGTAACAGTTCGTTCAAGTTCCAAATTGGAGTTTTGCAGTGTTCTTGAGGCAAAGACCGTTCTTTCCTTACTTTGAAAAACAAGACAGAGGTTGGTATACGCAAGACAACTTGTATGCAGAATTCTGAACTAGAGCCAGAATTCTGCAGAGATTTTGGGTACTGGAGCCAGAATTATGGGAAGAATTCTGCAGAATGGTGTTAATCTCCATGGGGTCGTCGATGACCACTACATATACATATTTCATCCATCATTTTTATTAGTTTACAATTATATCAGCCCATCTAGATATAAGGTTTCTAGGATATGGGAATTAGGAATAAAACTGGAATTCCAGAATTAAACTGGAGGCTATCATGAATGTTCATCTGTGTTGGTAGTTAAATGTTTAGAGTTTAAACTGGAGGCTTTTATTTTATTTGAACAGTTCCCATGGGTGGAATTCGTCAACCGTGTTGTCGGGGAGGCGGTTGGGGAGGAGATCACAGCGACTGAGGAGATCCTGGTGTACGCGCCTGAGTACCTGATGTCTCTCGGACCGCTCCTACAACAGACTGACAACAAGTAGGACTAGTAATTATGTAATTTTGTAATTAGGTAATTTTTTTAATTAGTGGTCGCCGTTAGGCCACTTCAAGGTGAATGGTGCTACCACCTGAATGGTATGACCACTCACCTGGGTTACGGGTTACCCAGTAGAACTGTAACAGCAACTCTTCTCCCTTATGTATGTTTGTATATGTGTGTTTGTTTGCTAGTGTGTGTGTGTGTGTGTGTGTGTGTGTGTGTGTGTGTCTAAAGATGATGTTTAACATGTATTGGTGTATTGTCAATATTTTGTAGGTGATTAGGTCTTCTTAACACCTCAAAATGAGTTTTGGCTCCCTAGCCGCTTGCCATGGTACTGTACTACAGTAGAATAATGCTAACACCATAGTTGAATACCCTAATGAAAAAAAAAAACTACGTAATATTCTGAAGAAAAAACAATGATCGTAACGTGTAAAAACACCCAGACTTACACACAGAAAGCTGTACTGAATATTTTTCTAAACTTCCTTCTGATTTTTAAAAAAATATGTCTCTGTACCATATTCCCAGGACTGTTGCTAATTACATCATTTGGCGGATGGTACGCAATCGGGTGTCTTACATGGGTTCCGAGTTCTTGGCGATCAGGGACGAGTTTAACCGAGTCGTGTTCGGAACCGAGCCGTCGGCAAGATGGACGACCTGCGTGGGGCGCACCAACAGCATTATGGGTACCGCTGTCAGCCGGATGTACCTTCTGCGGTACTTCGAGGAAAGTAGCAAGGACAAGGTGTGCGTTTTTTTATTTCTCACGTTTTAAATCTTCTCACTACAAACATTTGGCTTTTTTTCTCCAACATTTATAACAAGACACGGCAACAGTACATTCAATTTTTTTTATACCGTCAAGAAAGCACGGACAACAGACATACTCATTTTCACTTCAGCTAAGTAGTAAAAAAATGCGTGTAAAGTGTCTTTCCCAATGGCACAAGATCAGTGGCATTGCAGTGTTCGAACCCGCGACCTCTCGGTACACTCTATCTTTACGCCACATGAACGAACAAAGGATATTACTAATGAAGCAGGAACATTACAAGATAGCAAATATCGTGTTTTTTTGTTCCTAAATCTGCATGATGTAACATTAGGACAATGCAAAAGGTCGATTTTATAGCCATTTCTTTACAAAGTAAGTTGAATAAACCCTAATTCATTACAAATGAGCACCGACATACGATGTCTAGCGTGTTTTGTCCAGAGCTGGAAACACAGCTGTCAGCCACGATTGTTTTAATTCTGGTAGTTTGTGGTGGTGCCACAAACTGAGTGCGCCTTGTGTAAACACTACTTGAAAAGAGTAGGGGCCCTTTCAATTGTAAGTGCTTACAGCCTGGTCTCAGGTTTGACATCCTGAAGAGTGATAGTCACCTGTTATGTCAATCCTTCCACAAAAGTGGTAAATCTTCATAAATGACCCCACACAGGCGGAGGTGATGATAGACTATATCCATGACGCCTTCCTGGAACTTCTGGACGAAAATGACTGGATGGACGAGGAAACCAAAGTCGTCGCCGCTGAAAAGGTCAGCTTCATGTTTAACTTCGCAGAAGGACGACATAATGTCTGTGGTATGTTTCTTCTTCTTTCTCTGCAAACAAGATCAATGACTTGGACCGAACGGTTGTCACCACGGTGCTGTATCAGACACCCTGTGGTGTTGGGTTACGTTATGTAGCAAGTGGTGAGGTGAATAAATGACTAAACAAGTAAAATGGTAACATTTGCCAAAAATACATAATAGTTACCTTCAACATTCAACATACCGATCTGTTCATTCTTACTCATTGAGTTATGTAGCAAGTGGCAAGACAGAGTGTGAGGGGCTGGTCTCCATATAAATGAATATGGAGACCAGCCCCTCAGACTCTGCCTTGCCACTTGCTACATAACTCAATGAGTAAGAATGAACAGATCGGTATTTTGCTACTAAGTTTAATGTTGAAGGTAAATAGTATGTATTTTTGGCAAATGTTACCATTTTACTTCTTTAGTCATTTATTCACTTCAAGCTTGTGGCCGTGTAGAAATGCATAAAAACTACACAATATCCTACTAATGTGTTATTATCTCGGGCGAGCTAGAGCTTAAACTGATTATTACAAGTTCAGACTTTCTCCCCCAGGTATTCAGGTGTTTTAATAATAATATGTAATATGTAAGGTATCTATCAGAGAATGGACTTTGTTGTTACTAAGCAGGCTATTACCCTATAACTTATGTATAGTTGATACCCTAACATAATACATATATGTTTGCTTCATCTGTAAAATGCGTGATGTAACGTTAACTAGTATATCGATGCTTTACAGGCGGATTCCATGAGACGTTTTGTTGCCTATGACGATTACATCATGGACAATGTGACTCGTCTGAACCAGGAATATGAAATGGTAAGATATAATTCTTAAAAAACTCCATCTCCATCATTTTTCCATCTCTCACTCACTCACTCACTCTCTCATTCACACTCTCTCACTCACTAACGCACTCACTCACTCACTCACTCATTCTCTCGTTCAGTCAATCACTCACTTATTTTCTCAAAGATCATTTGGAAGGAATGAAACCTATAACTGCTCAATTACAATTTCTTATAATCTGTATATGTATGTGTTTATATATGTATGTATGCATGCATGTATGTATGTATCTTTCTGTGTATCTATGTGTGTATGTATCTATCTATTAATCTATCAATCAATCAATCAATCTATCTATCTAGCTATCTATCTATCTATCTATCTACAGTGTATCTATCCTTTTTATTTCCTTATCTACCAAACTATCCATCTATTTATGTATTGCCACCTCAGCAAAATATCTCCGAAGAGTTATTAAGAACGTACATTGTTGCATCCTTTTAGTAACTATACACGCCAATGCACACATTGATATTGGCACTGTGCAATTGAACTTGACAAAACACCTCCAATGGGTGCAGTCTTAGAATATATATTCCCTAAAACGACCCGCTTAGCAGTGAAAAGTAGATTGATTTTGATGGAACAGAAAGAAAGCATTTAAGTGAACTGATATATTCCCTGTTATTTTGGCAGCTCAACCAGAGATCACTGAAGCCAAAAAGAATGGCCCATAATAAAACTGTCATATTCAGGAAAGTGGAGCAATATACAGCAATGCTAAGGAATCAAAAGTGATAGGTAGTATACACGTTAGGTGTTACAAGTCGTTCGGTGTAATGTAGCCAGTTGCCGCCACGGCGCGTGCCTGTGAAGCTGGTGTGTTATACGCCAAAGCGGTTATACCGGCTATACAGAATACAGATACACATAGTTACACACCCCTTGCCGGCTGAGACATATACCCAAAGCAAGCAGTAATCTTAAGGATGACAATTGAAGACCTGATTAAATTTCTCTTGACTCGAAGAGTTTGTTGTTCAAAATGATCTGAGAATTAAGTTACCGTGTTTTCATCCCATATTGTTTCTATAAGCTGCGATTCGACGAAGACGAGTATTTTGAAAACTACGTGCACTACCTGATGGCCACTTCCAACAATACCTTCAGCTTCCTGAGGAAACCGGTCAACAAAGACACGTATGTGTACATTTCTACCGTTTGTTGCATCTTTCGTATTGAGAAAAAATTAGTTAAAGTTGATTTATTATTTTAAATCTTTTGTATAGTTATGTAAATTTTCTTTAACATGTAGCCAGGGCAGATAAGAACAGTCACTGCAACAGAAATTTTTGTTCAGTCATTTTTGTTCTTATTACGTTGTTATTGTAATCATTTATTGTTTACATCTATAGGTGGATAACGGTCCCGACTGTTGTGAATGCATTCTACTCTCCATCAGGAAATTCTATAAGTATGTCTCAATCGCTGGTATTTTATTTACGTTAAACTACGTGATGTAGCATTTTTGCGCCAAAATTTACACATTAGAAGACATTTTTTTGCTATTGTCATTCACTCCAAATGTGCATCATATCTGTACCATTATCTCAAATAGAATAGCCCAGACGGGGTGCACATATTTTCTTTATTTCTTTATTTCAGGCACCATATTATGGCACCATATAGAACACCATGATGTAACAGTAGAAAAAGTAGAATTTCTTCAATCATACTCAACAGTCCATCTCTGGACGAATAATATTGACATTGATATTGACTTTTTTAATCGATTCAAATTTTAAGCGTTTTAAACAAGATCTAATACTGTCTTATTTCACATAATCTAATACTGTGTTATGTTAATGTGTATTGTGTTAGTAAGCTGTATTTCTGAACGTCTACTATATTGTTGTGATGTCCTTACATCAATTCAGCCACACATGTGGCTGCAAACTGTGGACAATTCCAAAGTTGACAATAAACCACTATATTATATGATGTAACCTACTATATTATATGATGATATGATAGTATGAAGAATGGGGAGCCTGACTGCCAGACAACTCATCTAGTACTAAACAACGGACGCTCTGACCTAGACCTTCCTAAATGTACATGGAAGTCTGATCATGTCGATGCGTATCAGAATCATGCTCGGGGGAAGTAACAGAGGAAGAGTAAGAAGAGTTTAGCTAAGGATAAGGGCGGAAAGAAAATCGATACGTAAGCCGACCACTTTATTCTCACAGGTTTTCCGGCAGGAATTTTGCGGTCTCCGTTCTATGATGGAGACTACCCCTGGTAAGTGTTGGAATTAGCATGAACTGTTACTAGTTTTGAATAACATACGAAACATACATGTATGTCAAAAATACATTAACATGCATGTATATGCCATATGGGTGTATGGGTAAAACATACTTTATTGATTGGACATAAATGTATCAATTAGTTGTTGTATTAGTGTATTGGTATATGATATGTATATGAGAGTAGTAATTGTGCCTTTACCCATTTGGATATGGATATGCATCTAGATTGTTATTTAGAAAATAGATTATTTGGCAAGGAGTCATATTTTGTCATTGCAAGTTGACTACATACGCTTAATGATGACTAAACGTTTTTGAATATGTTAGGTACTTGAATTTTGGAGGTATTGGTGCTGTCATTGGTCACGAGATCACACACGGGTTTGACGATTCAGGTAAGTCAATCTAAAATAACACTAGAACACTATTTGACGTATTTTATGTGTGCTGTACAGGCGAGTTTAGATGCTGCAGTTCATGTATTAATTAAATCACCTTATATCCATATTCTCTTGAATGCAACTACAATCCTTTGGCCTTATGACCACATGTTGTCATTTGATTTCAATTTTTCATCACATTGATGTTGTTAATATCAGCATTTAGAACAAAAGCCGGAGATATGTTGACAACTGATTCTTACTGCTAGAAATTCAATTCATTCCGTATATGGAGGTAAATATATTCTAAACTGCATACAGGACGTCAGTTTGACAAGAACGGTAATCTTGAGCACTGGTGGAACCAGCACATCACCGACAGCTTCAAAGAGAAAGCCCAGTGCATGATCGACCAGTACAGCAACTACATAGATCCTGAGACAGGCGATCTCAAGCTAAACGTAAGTACCGGCTATGTAGGTTAGACATCCAGGTAATTAGATACGCAAGGAAACAGTTTCTCAATCAACTGGATAGATTTTTAAAGCTATCAAACTATCCAATTACTTGTGTAACTTTTTCTCTGTGTATTAACGTAAGTCACATTTACAGTCTGATATATCGAAACATTGAAAGATGTGAGTATATGAGGTATGAGAAAGCCCAGTGCATGATCGACCAGTACAGCAACTATGTGGACCCTGAGACAGGAGATCTCAAGCTAAACGTAAGTCACATCGATAGATATAAATATACAGTACTTAGCAATAAGAATACAATGTGAAAGTGTACTAACAAAGTGTGACTGTATATATATATATCCATGCTTCACCAAAAACCTTAAACCAAACTTTTCACTTTTCAGGAACAGGTTGAATAAAACTATAGAAATAGAAGAGCACAACGATTAATGTCATTTTTATATGATTGTCATCTAGGTCATCTTTCACGTTAGAAAATATTTTTTCTTATGTATATTTATGTACGGTTATAAATCTACTATTTTTTGTATGGTTGTACCATGAATGATAATAAGATTTGAAATAAAACGTCGATGTAGGTTAGACATCCAGCTAATGAGATACGCAAGGAAACAGTTACTCAAGCAACTGGATAGATTTTTTACCTATGAAACGTTAAAAAACTATCAAGTTGCTTGAATAATTGTTACCTTACGTATCAACGTAAGTCACATTGACAGTGTGTTATATCGAATAACTCTATTCTTTGCCTACAGTGTCATAGATTGCACGGTCAGGGTCTATGATCTTACAAAATTGTCGTCCAACGTAATCTAGATGTATTGCACTTGATCTTCGAGTCTGGCATATTATCGAGTTAAAACTAAAAGGATGCTGCTGCTATTACTACTGGACTTTAACAGCAAAGCTTGAGAAACGAAATACAGAATTGAAGTATACAAGGCATTGCACAAAGGACAAGGGCAACGTGACGCACCCTCAAGCTACAAATAATTTACTTAGTTACGACACATAACGAAATAGTTGTAGATTGTTAAGCCACCTTATATGTTGCTGTAATGTTTTGTCATGTCATGTTAACAGATCAAGGCTTTTGTAATAACCACTGGCTAGTCGGGCTGCCCTGGTTGTGAGGATTAAACAGCCAAACTAGTAAATGAATAAATAGATAGATAGATAAAACGCCCCAAGATGAGTTCTTTATTTTCTGGGTGGTACACTAAAAATCAACCCAGGTCTTTCCAGTAACCGTTTGTCGTCCGAATTTTTGGCATTTTGTTCCATGAGTGTCGATATACATTAGGTTAGTGTTGTTTCAACTTAGTATGTAGATAAGTGACTAGAATATTGACTTTCAAAAATCTGGCTTCCAAGCCCTAAAAACTGCACTGGATGCCTTGAAGAAAGCCATAACTTGCGTCGTCACATGAGACAAATGTGTGGAGAACACGGCGTGTGCTGCTCTGCAAAATGTCGCGACGCTATTACCAAAACAGTCCTCATCCAGGGCTTAGTTCCATTTGAGCTTTGTCAACGACCTCCCGGCAAATCCAATTTACCTCACAT